ACAATTAAACTTTTTACGTTCCTTTCATTGTTTAATAAAGTCAATATTACTTATGTCTACTTACTTTAATTTTATTTCTGTGGACATCTGAACCATTTTACTTCATTTCATTCACTTCCTCGTGACGATGTTTATAATTTAAAAAAATAGATGTTTGTTCTTTTGTTTAATTTGTTTATGCAAACATTTATTTCATAACATTTAGGAATGTTTTCGGGGCTTTGAATATTTTTTTTTATTTCATATATCACCAAAATCGCGAGGGCTGGGACTTTGGGCGGTAAACGAGCTCGTCCGTAGCGACAATTCATACGAAAATCTGGGCACACGCTGTGCGTGGACATTTTTTGTCCAATGTCTTATTCCTGCCCTGTGGGCTGAAGGTGATCAGAATTACACCTAAGTTACCTGCCAATGTTTCCTAGTGCATTAACCGAACAAAGTCGGCGAAAACGAAGAAAATAACTATAAAATATAATAAAAATAAAAATTATTTTGAGCTATTCGAACATGTTACTTCAATATGTGAGAAAGTTGAACCTCAAGCATACTAATTCGCAATATACTTAATGTTGTCACATACAGTGCGCTACATTTGATTACTCTCGCGTAATGATTTTGACTAATTTTGACTAATGCTACAAATTTTCATTACTAAGCTACATCAAAAACTAGATTAAAGATTTAAAAAATATTTATTTAATAATTTGTTCTACCCTTTCGTATTCTACATTTGATTTCTGTTTGTAAGGCAAATATTGTAATTTTTAAACTTAATACTTATTTTAATATTTGGTATGCCCTCCCTGCTTCTCAATGACAGCTAACATTCGATGAAGCAATGAATTGAAAACATTTTCTCAATAAGTTTTCTTAATTGAGTCAATAAGTTGGTTTAAACCAAATACGTTTTCTATGATATTTAGGTCTGGGGAAATAGCAGGCCAGTCCAGAACTGAAATATTATTAGCAGTCAACCAGGTGTGGATTATTTGGGCGGTGTGAATTGGCGCATTGTCTTGTTGCAATTTCCATTCTTGATCCGGGAATAACTTTGCCTTAACTTGAAATTGCTGCAAAAATTACTACTGAACCTGCCCGACTGTGACGGCGATCCAAACGATCCAAAAATTGCTCTTCCATCCTTACGTCATGAAAGTAATCTTGGAAACCATCAGAACCATCCAGGTAAAACTTCTTTTTATCCGTGAAAACGAAATTTTTCCATTCCTCTGTCCAGTTACGGTGAATGCGTGAAAACTCTAAACGTTTTTGTCGAAGACGTGCAAGCAGCAAAGGCTTCTTGCGTAGTTTTCTTCTTTTTAAGTTTGGACATTTCTTTATTACGCTTTGGATAGTGCGTGTGGACGCATTACTTCCACTGCGACGCCTTATTTGTCTAGCTGTTGACGAAGAATTGGATGCAAGTCGAAGAATTACACGACGTTCCTGTTGTTCCTGTGTTGTTGCAGTTGAAGTGCGTCCTTGTCCATTATTTCCGTAGTTTTTGCTGTCTTTTAAATAAGCATTGATAACCCATGAGCTGCGCCCGATTTGTCTTGCAATTTCTCGTTTTGAATAATTCTCCTCTCGATAACCTTGAATGGCCCTCTTTCTTCTAACGAAAATTTTTTACCGCGTCCCATATCAATATCAATCACTTTTAGAACACTCAAATATACTCAAATTACTATTAGACAACTGTAAATCCGTTGTGAAGTGACATGATTTTGTTTCTTCTACTAGCTAGCGACCTACGATTCTAAAAAGTGAATGAGAGTAATCAAGAATCAATTATTATAGATCAGTATAGCTTTTTTTACTAACCATTTCTCCATTGTGAAGAACGAGTGAATTAAACAAATTGTTGGACGAATACTCTTAAAACATTGTATCCAATGATATATGTGAGTTCCTTATCAAAATTTTGACTATTAACAGAAATGAGCTCAAATCTGTTAGTGAGAGTAATCAAGTGTCGCGGACTGTACATCTAAATGAATTAGGTAATGCCAATTTACTTCAAAAAACATGATTCTGCTTCCAACAGTGCAGAATTCAAATTGGAGATAGAAATTAATACCTGATTATACTCAACTATAACGCACCACTTGCTGTTGACCCTTTCGAATCGAAGCAGTTCAAACCGGCTTTAAAAGATAACCTTTGAATATCTGAAAAAGTGCTTGTTTTCTCATTTCTCAGTCTGTACTTTTCCCACCTGATCGTGATAATATATAGCTATTTATAAACAAAAAATGATTTTAAATGTATTTAGCCGGTCGTTAAATACGGCGCAATGTTCGGTAGAGCGGTTTTTACAGACAATTTTATCTATATCACTGTCTGGCTCAGTGAATCATTATCGCTTTTTATTTACAAATTAGTAGTATAAAGTCAAGTATCTAAATAATTAGTGAACATATAAATAAATAAACATGATAAACTGACACAGTCAACGGTCATTACTTGAGCACGCGATAATTTTTACTCAATGATGAATGTCATAATTAGCAAATATTTAATATAGTAAATCGTCTCGAAGTACACGATCTGGAAAATTACAAAAAGGTGCTTAAACAATGAGTATGCCTTGAGCGAGCAAAATAATCTTAAGACAAAAACTTTTAGTAAACACGTATCATAATATTAATCGTAAAAAACTGACAATTGGGTAATTACTAAAGATACGGGATGGCTTCAGTTCCAGCATATTTATTATTATAGTTTATTTATAACAGGCAGTTTCCCTAAAAATATCTGATTTTTTTTTTCAAATAAGCATCATTAGCGCATAACTTGTGGGTAAAGAAAGCTTGAATAGTACGGAAGTATTTAATGTACATGGTGATTCAAAATTGCCGTCATTCCTTTTAAGGGATAATAGGGGCTCACTTATAGAGTACGAGAAAAAAATTGAAGATAGTAACAGTTGAAAATCGAATTTCAACTTTGGTATTAAGCATTATTTTCAAAGTGGTTCATGTTTACTTGATAGCATATTGGAATACTTAAGCATTCAAAAAGAAAAATTGCCATCTTTGCTTCAAATTACGAAAATTTTTTATATTAAAAAAGTTCCCTTCTACAATTTGTTGATGAAAAGTAAAAGCCGCAGTAACGTTTTTTGTCATTAACGGATAGCTACAGGGAGATAGCATTTGTCAATCATTTGTCAAACTGCGGCTTATTTTGAAGCTCCTTTCACGAATTTGCGGATATGCGTTTATGGTATACAGGGTGATTCAAAATTGGCGTCATTCCTTTTAAGGGGTGATAGAGGCTCCCTTGGGGAGTACGAGAAAAATATAAAAAACATTTTTTTCGAAAATTTCTAGAATATATTAACAGTTGAAGATCAAACTTCAACTTTGTTATTAAGCATAATTTTGAAATTGTTTCATGTATAATTGGTAGCATATTGGAATACTTAAGCATTCAAAAAGAAACATTACGATCTTTGCTTCAAACTACAAAAATTTTTGATATCAAAAAAGTTCTCTTGTACAATTTTTTGATGAAAAGGCACAGCGGCAATGATGTTTTTGTCATTAACAGATGGTTACAGGTGGATAGGGACAGGGATAAGGGCCCTTGTCAATAATAACAATAATTTGTCAAACTGTGACTTACTTTCAATTTCCTTTCACGAATTTGCGGATATGCGATTAGTTGAGGGGAAATGCTACAGTAACATAGCAGAAGATGAAAGAACTCACGCCAACAAAGGGCGAGGAGAGTGGTTCCAGGAAGAAAGTGAACGACAATTGATGTTCGGGTTCCAGGCACAGAGGAACAAGTATTGGACATAATCGAATTAGGGCCTTCCAGGGGTACTCAGAGCACAATAACTGACACTTTCCCAAGCACCAAGTAAATACAGAGGAAAGGCGTTTGTACGATACACACAGCACAAGGAGACGCAAATGGAGCACGAGTTAATTAACTGAATACGAGAAGCTGCTTGATAAGAGTGGATAAGGAGATTTCACACGCACTAGCTTGTTTTAGTTAACCGTTCAAATGTTTGGTATTGTATGGATTATTTATGTAAAACACCAAATCCCGCAGAATTCGAGGTTATGAGAACAGGTTGACATTTCGAAAGTAAGTTCCGTCATTCAACGATTCCTGTTAAGTTGACCTTTTATCCTTGTCTATCTTATTGTCACTCTGTATAATTCCATGGTTACCGGAGCTTTAAATAATTACGGAGTAACAGGTATTTGCACAATGTTAATTAGGCAGATTACCTTGAAAAACATTGCTGCCGTATTTCGGATATAGTTTTTTTTGCAAATTTCTCAGTTTTTAATAACAAGTAATTTATTTTACTATTTTTTCTGTAATCCTATAACAGCGCCAGACAACATCTCCAGAGGAATGACGCCAATTTTGAATGACCCTGTATGGTTCTTGGGAAATGTAACAGTAATATAGCAGAAGCTGTAAGAATTTACGCCAACAAACGGCTAGAGACACTGATGGAAATTGGCTCCATGAAAATAGTGGGCCACAATAGATGTTCGGTTTCCCGACACAGAGGAACAAGTATTGGACATAATTGCAGCAGAACCTGCTGGGGTACTCAGAGCACAATAACTGACACTTTCCCCAGCACCAAATAAATACCGAGGAAGAACTATTCTTACTACGAATGTAAGATACACACAGCACAAGGACACATTAAACCAATAGATTACTGAACACCGGTACGAATTGAGCAGGAGTTAATTAACCTAATACGAGAAACTGCTCGATAAGAGTGGATAATAAGTAGATTTCACAGGCAATAACTTGCTTCGGGTTAATAGAGAGATATTGGACTGCTGGCATTTTGCGCTATTTTTTCACATACGCCTGCGCAAATCAGTCTAAAAAATAAGTCCTGCTATAATAAAATACTGCTCTGCAGTATTTGTACAGCCCTACTGCACGTTTCATTTTCTATCTTAAACTGGCAGTTGACATTTCTGACGTCCGCTTGCATCTTATTTCATTATAAACATAACCCAGTTTCACCCATTTCCCTTTGAGTACTTGTTTACATATGTAAACATTACGTTTACATATGTTATTAAATCGTAATACTTATACAATTGGTTCAAAGTGCGCTATTTTTGCCGTGTCATTAAATCCTCAATGCGTGCTGAACGAGCTACGTTCCTCTTTTTCGATTTAGCTAGATGATTTGAATGCTTTGTCTAGTGAATGTCGAAATGCTTGTGTTAAGGCTTTAAAACGGGTGCCTCTAAGTGAAATTTATATGAGAAATGATCGTATTTGCCAAGACATTGCATAACAGGTACGTATTTGTGCTAAAAGCGAGTTTTACTACTATTTATGTTAGCTTGAAGGAAAACCAGCTGCCTTGGAAAACAAAATTAATCCAGATGGGTTGCCCAACGAAAATTTAGGACACATTTCTGGTCTCCAACCAAGTCGACCTGCCTGCCTACTCCCTATTTAAAAAGTCCTTAAAAAGAGCTAGAATGAAGCATGAGGTTGGTTGTTATAATATTAAAAAGCATCATATGTTTTAAGCTGTTGTTTTTAGGTCCGAGCTAAAGTTGTTTCTGCATAGTGCACAAGAATTTGATAATGTTTCAGAAAAAATTGAAGAAATTTGAGCAAAACTTAGAGAAGCTTAGGGAGATTTAGGGAAGCTGTGTTAGTGAGGCAATTCAAACTGATATACCTAACTGAAGAATATTCAAGTCGATTTTGTGTTTCTCAGGTAATTCATGAAAAACACGATTTGATTTTTGCAATTCAATAATGTACACCTTGCCAACAAAATTGGAAGTGATGGATGTAAATGTGAATTATTTTAAAAATAAATGCTTTATTCCTAACGTGTGTAGCTGATATCTCTTGAACCGAGCCAGACTCAGCATGCTTGTAAAATTGCAAGTCTTTATAAAAGCCCGTTTACACGCTCAAGCCATCTGAACGAT